TGATGGTGAATTTGATCAATGGATTAAATTACCAACACATTTTGGATTATCATCTCGTGGTGAAATTCATGTTATGATGACTTTTACAGTAAATTGATGTTCATATTAACAATTTAGATTTTCTTTTCTTTCTCTATTTTAGCCTGATTAGTTCAAGATTATGAACGATCATTTTCTTTTATATATTTTTACACCAGTTCATTCTTTTACTATATGAATTTTTTTGTACAATAAAGGTAATTGACCATTTTCAAGAAAAATACGCCGTTAGGATTATGTTAATCATGAATAATATTTGTTGTGAGAAGCTCAGTGTAAATGTTATGGAATATCAACTGACTAGGCGAGACTCAGTCCTCTTCGAGACCAAAATCATGGCTTCACATAACTGTATCCTTACGTAATACCGTATAAGAATCCAAGGCTACTTTCATATGTTACGAATGCCAATGCTGTGTTGGTATTGTGACGTATATAATTGAGAATTGATTCCTTATCATCCTGAAATTATCTCGATTAAGATTTTATAAGTCATATAGAATATGTTGGATCGTGTCATATTCCAAGCGTTCTTCTCACTGATACTTTGACACGAATTCATATTTTTCTGCTAAATACAACAGCTAAACATTGATATCAATGGTATATTGAAATTCATTAATAATATACTCATTATCTGTTTTTTTACGCAGCGATTTTCGATGCGCCTAGAAATATTATTATTGATGATTTGAAATAATGTATCGGATTATAACGTAATTCTAGCATAAACTCAAGTTTGGACATTGATCATCAGACAACACTTTGTAATGCATTGCATGCCGATGAATGATATAACATTTGGAACATTACTTTGAACAATGGTCTACAGCGTTTGGAAGTATGATATTCTTTGAACTTTATGTAGATTTTTCAAAAGTACTTTACGCTTTATAATCTAATGTATTAGTGAACATTTTAGACGTTAGTATTATACTAAGTTCTCAAACTATTGTCGATTGCATCAATTTCTCTATGAACTCTGTTGTGCTTATGCACTGGATATACGATCGATCTTACGATATGAATTTGATATAATCTGTCAATAACTTTTACCAAGCGATCTGTTACGTCAAATCATTCAACAATATCAACAATCCACTTATCTGAAGATAATCAAATGCTTTTGTGAATACAAAAAAACTCAGCTGATTAAACAGACTCTGAGTTTACCGAAATTAATCTTTTGTCAATTTGACAATTTTATTTCCAAAGGAATCTACTTCTCAGAATTATCGATTGCGTCGTCAACAATAGAATATTGATCGACAAAAAACATTGTCTGCGATTTCCATTATTTATTCTATATAAAGAAAATTTCGAAAAATGTCCTCTTCCTAAAGTCCATTTTTAATTATACTAACTCTTTGATACCATGATTCGATACCGTCGCCGATGAGCCTCTGACAGCAAATTCTTATGCGTTTTTTCAAATATGAGCATGAGGTATGCGCCAAACACGCAAAAAAGAACATATTGAACCATCACGGTCATAAATCAGTATATTATCGATAAAAGCATATGTGGGAATGTGAGACACCTCCCTTAAGATTATGCGTCACTAACTATATTGTTTCGATATTAAAAAGCATATTTACATCGTGTTTTGTATTGTACCTTCTATATATAGCCATCAAATTCATTATATAAGTATTGAAATCCAGTAGCGTCCATTGGTGATGGTAGAACAAGTTTCTAGCGATTTGCTAGCTATGCAAGAGAAGAAAAATTCACTCTTGAAAGCAACAGCTTATATGATGATTTGGCGACGTGAACTTCATCTTAGTCAAGATAAAATTTATCCTAACAAAGCGGTGCTGAATAAAAAGACATGGTATCAACACACGTACGGTCTAAGCTTCGAGGCCGAGCCGAACAGCGATTGCGCCAACGAGAAAAGTCTTCGCTCCCAAAGTCGGAAGAGCAGCTGAATACTTTACAAAACGTAGTTTACCAAAAGAAGTCCTTAGTCAAAACGTTCATTTGATTTGTAAAACTAGTTTATTTAGGAAATAAAGAATGAATAAAAAGTGGTCAAAAGAAGCAACTAAATATCCATCAAAAATGAAAAATTCAACGTCTCAATTTCAGTTTTTCGCGCATTTATCATCTTGAGTCGACTTTTTTTTACAGTCTCCACCAAAAACGAAACTCTTAATGGCAGCAATTCCAATTCCAACCTTAGTTACAGGTGCTACAAGCGCACCTGTTACTGAAACACTTTGTAAATAGGAGAAGACAGTACCAATGCCATATGTTGCTTGATACCAAGCAGCCCAGGATCCGGCAGTTATACCAGTGGCAGTAAAACCCATATAGCAGAGCACAGCAGGTACACCCACAGCACCGGCTGCGACCGCAGCGGATGCATAAGCAATAAATGACGATGTTTTACCTAATTTACAACATTGATCTTCATCAAGATTCAGTTTCTCGCAGACTTGTTGAAGAAGAGTCTGATCTTCGTCATGACGCTTTGAAGTCGTAGCAGAAATGAGAGTCAGTGGTGAGAGCAGCAAAAAAATAAAGGAGAAAACGGTGACAGTCTTCGGTGTTAAACAATACATTTTTATTTTAAGAATAAAGTCTACGTCAATTGAAGCATATTTTGTTTCTTTTTATATCACACGCGACTTTTGTCGGTTTTATCATTTCTCGCAACCAATGTAAACAGTTAGAAAACACAGAACAGCCACGCAAACAAAACCGATCTCGAGTATATGCATAGCTCCAGAATAGAGGCAAAAGGTCATTTGATTCGTATTTCTATGTTCATATATACCTTATTTTAGAATTAATTGAGAATTACTGTCAAAGGAAAATGTTCCATTTTTTCCTCATTTTATATGAAATAAATATGACAAATGAAAAGAGATAAATTTTGTTTAATATCGATTTTTCATCTCCGTGGTAGAGATAGGCTGTTAAAATAATATTATCTTCGAACCTATAAATCAATTAGATTGTAGTAGATAAAAAGGACATGCACTCTCCTACCAACAGTTCATTCTTTCCATTTTGTTAACTGACAGAACATGTCCGCGAACTCGTCTTTGATGTCTGACGAAGAGTTAACAAAAGATAATCCATTATTTTGGAGTCAATATACGCCTGCAAATTGTGATTCAATACGAGCTATTGGAATCATTTTAAGTCTTGCGGCATTTGTTGGAATTGCACTGAATGGGATTCTTTTATACAGTTTTGTTCGTTATGAAAATCTTCGAACACCACCAAATGTGTTTATCATATTCATCGTTGCACTTGGACTTCTAGCATCATTTTCGATTTTACCCATGACAGCAAGTTCGTCCATTTATTGCTATTGGTTGTTTGGAAAACTAGGATGCCAATTCGAAGCGTTCATGGCTTTGTTATATGCCTGTTCGAGTTCATACTTACTTTGTGCCATTAGTCTTACACGATGTTATATCATTATGCGACCGTTCAAAGCCAAGAATGTCACTGTAAATATCTTGAGAATGATTATAATTGAAGATTGACGTAAAGTTCTCATTTTCAGGTGACCAAATGTTTGATTATCAGCTGTGTAGTTGTGATGATTGCATTTACATGGACAATGTTACCAATCCTTGGTTGGAATGAATACACGTTTGAAGTTTGACAAGGATTTATTTTCGTGAAAGAAGCAGCTTTCTTGCATCTGCATTTAGAGAGTTCGTACGTCATGTTGTGTCAATCAGTACGATCGTCGGCGATCATATATATCATTCAATTTGGCTATACTTGTATTTGTTTATTGTATTCCAGTGATTATTCTTGTAATCACGAATGTGATTGTTTACGTGGAATTGCGACAGATGAAAAAGAAGGTTACAGAAGCAGTTCAAACTAATTTCAGTCATAAGAAAATCGAGATGGAAAGACGAATTCTTGAAAGTAAATGACATGTATTTCAATCCAATGAAAATCTTCGATTATTTTGTCTAGACATATTAATTACTGTCTGTGGATTTGTGTTCACACGAACACCGTATGTTTGTGTATGCTTTCTTTATACATTTTACGGCAAAGAGTCGATTTCACCCATGCTAGCATTCATTTGTGTCTGTTTCGCTAGATCATCGGTCATGTGGATCCCAATGCTTAATATAATGACTTCGACACATTTCAAGATCAATTTAGTCAATACGGAGATATTGGAAACGTACGTGATGCATAGTAGTATACTTAAACCGTCTTCACCATCAATCAAAATACGAAAAACTAACAACACAGCAGAAGCATCAGTGTATAAAGATTTCACATCCCTCGCTAAATAGACTATATTGAAATGTGAGAATATCAAATAACCCCCTTCGTTTTAAAGACATTCGCTTCAAAGAAAATTCTTTTTCAAATATATTTACGTCTCTTCATTTCTGCTTATCTTTCGTTGTCATTACAAATGCCTGGTAGCTTATTACATATATAAAGGCGTGCATTCAGAAAGGTGCATTCTACACTTATTTAAGAGAGCTTTTTTATCTACTTTCATATTACCTTTGTTATCATTCTATAAAAAGTACTCTCAAACAGTCATATCCACATCAAACTGTTATGATGAAGTTCAAGCTGTATATCGTTTCTATATTTATCTTCCTATTCGGTCAACCGTTGATTATTGCCCTTGATCTGTTTGATCCATATGAAGACAATGATAGATGTACACCATCAATGTCCGTGTGCTCTTTCGAATTGCATGCAACTACAGACATGACAATGTTTTACAAAAACCTATTTCGCGTCGTTGCAACGGACAATGGAACATTGCATCATTATGCTTATCCAAATCAAACGTTCTCGATGGATGAAATTATTACAGGCGATGGTTATCCGAAACTTGTATGTACATACAATGTTCAGTAAAAGTATGAATAAGAATTCTATTTAGGTTTATGTGTTCAATCATTCTCTTCCAGGACCTGTTTTACATGTATATCAGAATCAACGAGTTCAAATGCGAATTTTTAATGATTTCACTTCTGAATCACTGAGTGTGCATTTTCATGGTATACGGCAGGTCAATACTCCACAAAGTGATGGAATCGGACGTCTAACACAGCTATCAATTTTACCAGGATCCAGTTTTCTACATGAATTCACTGCAGTGGATCCAGGCACTTTCTGGTATCATTCACATGTTCATTCACAAACAGCAATGGGTCTCATGGGTGCTTTTATTGTTCATCCACAATCAGCATCTGTTAACGACGTACAAGGAGAATTTGTTCTTCTTTTACATGATTGGCAACATTTTTACAGCAGTGAACAACATTATTTGCTCATAGAAAGTGGCCAGTTTTATCCGAATGACCTTGAATCAATAACAAAATCTAATACAATCGATTATTTTCAAGCTGTTGATAATTCCAGAGCTGCCGAAGCTCTCGTTACTTCCTTACTAATTAATGGTCGTGGACGATACATCGATCTCCGTAACAGCACCAAAGGCTCCAGTACAACACCATTCGAATGCTTAAAAGTAACTTCTGCACAAAACAATCCGAGTTATCGTCTTCGTCTAATCAACGGTGGCAGTGTTTTCTCATTAAAATTTTCCATCGATCAGCATCCATTACAAGTTATTTCATCCGATGGTGTTCCATTTGCACAACCATTGATCGTTGATCAACTAATCATTGGTCTTGGTGAGCGTTACGATGTCATCATCGATAGTCTGACAACGATTAACACCTCAATAAATTATTGGATCCGCGTTGATACGATGGATAAGAATAATAACACTAAATGGCATGGTTTAGCTATTTTACAATATGCATCTACGAATGCATTGCCGACGAGTGAACGAAAAAACTGCACAGCAACAAACCCTTGCCGAATTTTAAATTGTCCTTTCACACAATATGGTCCAAATGGAACTGACCAGACAAATCCATTTATTTGTTTAACCCCATTGAATATGACTACACATGATGATTATCTCGATCATGAGTTGCTCGAGGAAAACTTACCGATAAATATCAAGCACACACTAGCATTGACAATGGTTGAAAGTCATGACGGTCAAGCTGGTTATGAGTCATTTAATTTCATCGGCTTGAAATATCCAACCATGTCCCAACCGGTTCTTTACAATCCTCGACTAGCTCGAGAACTACTTCCATGCTCCAATCGATCGTTGGATGAAAATTCAGGTGAAAAATGTTATCATACAATTGTTACGAAATATAACGATACGGTAGAAATACTTCTTGTTAATCATGATGACGATCAACATCCAATTCATTTACATGGCTCTTGTTTTCATGTTGTTCAACAAGGATTAGCTCAATTGAATATGACAACTGGAGAATTTCTTGCTAATAATCCTGATGTCATATGCGATGAACATGCTGTGTGCATTTGTAATCAAACGACGAGTTCAAATTGTACGAAAAATAATATGCGTTTAGTTAAAGATACGATACAATTACCACGAGGAGGGTAATATTGACAAAATAGAGAATGGGGTAGGACAATGGACTGTATACTTTTAGATATATCAGAATACGGTTTCGAGCGATTAATCCGGGCGTTTGGCTTCTTCATTGTCATACTGAGCCGCATCTTGATCGAGGTATGGCCATCGTATTTCATGTGAGTCAGAGAATTTACTACTATGGTTCAACTATTTCATTGAATTTCATGATTCTAGATTGCAGAAGATCGACTACCACCGATCAGATTTTGATATCTTATTCTTTCATGTACATTTATTTCACAATTATACGAATATTCCTGCCGGTGTTATTCATTGTTTGTCTCTCAATAAAAATCGAAATCACTAATACAAAATACATCATGCACATTTAATGACATCGAAAAGGATACTGATCCACAATATTACATAAAAAAATACTTTCGAAGGCGTCGCGAGATGTGTAAACATCGACTACGAAGTGTCATCACTTCGCGAATCTCTCATATGTTCTTATGCATGTATTGGAAGCGTAATATTGTTATTTAACTTTAGTCGCTTCTTCATGGATATTTTAAGTGGCTCTGTGAAAGATAAAATAGCCAGCATTACGAATGACAGAGTAACGTTAACGAATATATAAGCAATTCTATAATGGTATTTCGGTGGATTAGTGAAAAACGAAATAAAAACAAGTAAAGTATAAGGAAAACCAATAGTAATGATACCACTTACAAGAATAATCAAGCGATAGATCATTCTTAATTCTCGCTGTGCACGCACCAATGTATTAGCTGTTGTTATGTTTCTACTGAGTTGTCGAACATATTGAACTAATTTGAAATAGACTAGTGCGAGCAGAGATATTGGTATAGTATACACACATAAGGCATTATAAACCATAAAGACGGAAAATTCGAATGGCATTTGACATATTTGATTGTCACTATTATAAATAATTCGATTTGCAGTGATAAATGGAATAGGGCAAACAAAACCAACAATCCACATGATACAAATTAGAGTTAATTGAAATTTTAGTGATTGCCAAATAAAACGAGTCGGATATACGACAACTAGATATCGATAGGCAGCTTGAAGTAGATAAGAATAGTTTTGTAAAAATGTCACAACATAAGCCATATAACCACGAAAAACACAATATGAATCATAATATTGTACTTGATTAAGATCATTTTCGAGCGTAAACGCAGTCAAACTTAACATAACGCATCCAAAAACTATCTCAGTTAGACATGAATTAGCAACTAGCAACATAAGAACATTATGACATGTTCGATCAAATATTATAATGAGTAAATATATGGTTCCTAGTATAATAGCAATGCCGATAGAAAAAAGCGTAATGATATCAATAGGAACGAACCATGACTCAGTATTCAACACCATTGACACGTTGTTAGATGGCATACTAGATTGAAAAATTAAATGGTAAGATAAGTGGGTATGACTTATAATGGTTTTCCAAGAGAGAAAGGCTGAAGATGATCATTATGAAAAGAGCTTGTGCATCGAGCATGTATGGCCAACCTAAAAATAATGTCATTAGTATATACTTTTCTCTTTTATATTTGCATCGTTGATGTTTTCCGGTAATTAATCTTATTGATGTTAATTTTTATAAAAGTATTTTGCCCATTGTAAACTTGTCATTCGTTTCCACTATTTGATTTCGAATGGTTATGATAGATTTTGAGTTACAACAGCGAGTGACAGGGAAGATCTCTTTCATGTGTATATTCTCTTATCGAATTATTCATTTTGTGCAACGCATACCTTATTTATCATATGTTATATCTTATATTTTCAAAAAACTTCGGCTAATGGATCGAAGAAATCAAAATTGTTCAATGTGCAGTTTGGTTTTCAAACACAGATAGAAATTGCTCTGATTATCTGCACAAAAAAATGCCTACACGTTTTCGAGTCAATCTTTAATACCAGCACTGCCTTTTGTCTCACGTATGCATACACGTAAAATAATATTAAACTTTGGATATCTCCAGCGCTTGGTCATGCACGCTGTTTATCGATCTGACTGAGAAACTTCCAATCTCTACGTTTTTTTCCCATTTGAAATGCATATACTCACATATTTTCGTTCGTGACATTCAAATCATGTCTCTCTCTCCTCTTCAAACTGATAACATTTTGACTAATCACTAGTACTTCGTACATACAGTGAATAATATCTCAACTAACGGAACGATACGTATAGACAAATCGCAGAAAGATAAACTGTATCGTTTGATTCAACGGTAGTTATTTTTTCATTAAGTAGAAATATTCAACATATTTCGAAATTCTCGTTTGACGCAAGATTTGCAAACGACAGAAATAAGTGGATTTTTCGTTCCAATAACGTCTTCCTTACATAGTATATATAGCTTTTTGGCAAACGTTAAGACTACTCTATACAGCGAACATATTTCGATTTCCAGCAATTGAATCCTTTTACAACTCTTAACTTGAGACTATATTATTTACTGATACCAACGACACAGCAATGGCAAATGAAAGCGATACGGAAACTCCGCCACCAGCGTATGAAACAATCGATACTACCACAGATCCATCCAATAGTGCTCGTTTTCAAATTCGAGAACCTATGCCAGCAGAAATCACTCAAGATCAATACCTGTTTGTGAGAGACCAACAAAATCATCGCTTACCGACCCATAGAATCAACTCTCATATTTGCTGGTCTATTTTGAATCTTGTATTTAGCTGCAATTGTTTCATTTCATGGATCCCTCTTTATTTTTCAATCAGAACGATAGGCTTCCGAGAAACAGGTGACATTCAACATGCTCTAAAAGCCTCAAAACAAGCAAAAGAATGGAATCAGGTCACATCAATATTTATTGTTGTAACCATGTTTGTATTGAGCTTCTATATTTGGATTTTTCTTGCGTGATCAGCTCTATGTGAATTTTCTATTTTTAATGTCAACGGATTTTATAAACCTAAAGATTTTTCGGAGTATACGAACTGTACAGTTTCCTCAATCGTTCATCATTATTTTCGTATAAGATACATGTTTATTCACTATAAATCAATAAATCCTTATTTCATAAATCTTGACTTGGTAATATCGATGGTGGTACTTTTCGAATAAGATATTTAATGATTCAGTCAGTTTTGGTGAGTGTTTCATTGTCGAATAAACATACACGAAAAAGAAAATTAGTTGCTCTATCGAGTTTTATTCCTTGATCACTTCGCGATATCATCACTGCGTATTGATACATATAAAAAACTGATGTTAATTTTATATGTGAACAATTACTTGAGAAAAAGTATTGAGCTATGTCTCATTTGAATATGTTACAAATAGTTTCTCATTATCCTAGCAGGAGCCACTGTTACATGATTCGATCTAGAATGTTATCATATTCTGCTTTTATCTTTTAATGCGAATATGTAGATACACGAGTCGTGCATACGACAATTTATATAAACAGAAAATAATAGGTTGCTTGCACGACCTATCTCGCACACCATGCGATTTACAAGTAAGAAAAAAATGATAAAGTACAATAATATAATAATAAGAGAAACGTTGTTTTGCGAAGAAAAGCTCGATTGTCATATGTAGATAAAGAAAAAGAAAGTTATATCGATGCACAAAGACGGCAACATCGTACTTTCAACCGTTCGGACTCGTACATTTCACCACACGCAAGAAAGAACGCTAACCGTGTTAAAATATTACTCGTAGTATGTTTAAAGAATATGGGGGCAGCCCGAAGAAGCTACCAACAAGCTCATGATCGAGCAAGATATGAGTAACTTCGACGAAAATGACATAAAATTATCGCGAAGTCATTGATGGGTAGCAATTATAGGTGAAAAATTCGTCGGTCAAGTTGGTGTCCAACCCTTGTCTGTCGGCGATCCACGATTATACAATAAACTGATTACAGATGAAAACACATGATTTTACAAAGACATTCATCCTGACGACATTTGTGAATTAAGAGAGATGACCGAATTGTCCAGTTATCGAAACAAATATATTGGCCAAGAGTTACTGAAGACATCAATTAACTTTGCACGTGAGCAGAAATATAAGGCGATTCATTTGACTACAGGTTTAATTATGAAACCAGCATGACGATGCTATGAACGATGTAGTTTTACACGTGATGTAGTTGATCGCTGCTCAGTTGACTACAATATAATATTGGCTGAAGATAACAATAACACTGCTACTGATATTAAGAAGACAGATAAAAACAACATCGTTTTGGGTCCACCAATCACCTTCGAGGCTCGAGACGACCTAGTAGATGCAGACTGGGAAGAGATCAATCAATCATTGACGAATGTTCCGCTCGAATTAACATACTTTTATATACAATATTTTTGGATGAGATTGTAATTTATTAGTCTTTAGACTAACGATTTTTTTACAGTAGACTCGGTCATACATTAGAAAAACTAAGGAATAAAATTCCTCCAGTGAATGGCTCAGTATTATCACAAATAAAAACACTTACACAGAACACTCTAATTACTTAGAGGCTACTTTGACGCTATGCTTGAAAATTCATAAATGCCAAAATATCTTGCGTGTAGTTTTATAGAAGATATTGTGTCATGTCATTTGTTCGATAGAATTGAACAGAATCCATACAGTATTACTCTTGGTCTCTTGCTTCTGCATCAAAGATATTCTATGATGTTCTATATGGCAAATTAATTGAAAGTTTATCAAATGCGCTCCAAGATAACTTTGTTTGATTTATAATTAATCAGAACAAGATGATAAGCCTACCTTCATCATCTCATCTTCACCTTTTAGTGGCAATATAATATATAGAAAGAATTGTGTTGGTAATACTGACAGGATTTCCTATTCATTCTATCAGCTAGAAAAGTGTACTTTGTCTGCTCTGTAATTTCTGTATGTTGTGTATATCGTGCGTTTTGTTATTTCTACGATCTATCATAAAACGCCTTTGTTTTGTTTTTAATAGTATACCTATGCATTTATTGTCAAACTTTTTGTCAATGACTTATAAAGCGTGACGAATTGTTTTTCACAGGCTTTTACGCATTTATATATGACCTGCCATGGAAATAATTAGCTGTTGATTGGAATAAATATATGACTAATCGATAATTCACTTTGTTTGGGTTGTATTATCAAAGATCCACAATCGGCTTTCGTTCGAAGGACTAGTCGTAGTGAATTGCATATATCTGTTGATTATCCACATCTGAGTATATCACAAATCACTTTTGAGCTAGTACTCTCCATCGCAGAAACAAAAATCTCATCATATATTTTTTCAATCATGGTTGACTAGTTAATCTGCAAAGAGCTACTCATAAAATAGATGGAATGCTTGAGGTATGTGTTTATCCTATTCTTCGCGTCACAACCCACGCATTCGTTTTGATGTTCGTTTTATTTTTGTATCGATTAGTATGAGTTGGCAAAATTTCGTTGGTGTATCCTCAAATCAACAATTAGTTGTTTTTCAGCACTTCGATGC